TAATTACGTAATTACGTTTTTAAAGAGTGAAAGTGGTAATTAATTACGTTAATTACGAATTACGTATTTATGGTAATCACGAATTACGTATTTACGGTAATTAGCTAATTACCATATCATGTATATATCAGGTACATTGCACACAATTATTAGAACTTAACCATATCCATTTTGTTCCATTAATTTATCTTGACAACAATGTTACATCATCATCTATAAATACATCAAACTTGGCAAAACAAATATATAATCAACAACTACAACATAATCAACAACTACAACAACAACAATTACAACAGCCACTTCCTGTTGTAGAATCATTAACTGATATTAATGATACTAATGATGATAACACTAACATAACGCTTTATCATCATCATCATCATCTATTCCTTTTTCTTCACCACATACTGATATATTGACAATTACAACATCATCCAATTCAATACAACAATATTTATTTAATTAATTTACAATAATGGCATAGCAAATCTTCATCACATCATCCTTCTGTATCACAAAAAAAATATTAAAATCATTCAACTTTGCCGAAGGCCAGAAATTTTTCTTATAAAATTTCTGTTTGTAATTCAACCAAACAATTACAAATAATTCAAATAGTAACTTTATTTGAAAAGAGACTTTAAAACAGTAAATAACAAGTAACACCAGTGACGAAGTCACTGTCATAAAGCATTCATCTAGTTTATTTATATAAATTTAACGCATCATCAAATATTGGATTTTTTACACGTAATCCTACCCCGATTAACCTATTGTTAATTTAAAGCTAGCCTGCTACCTTTACTTAATAATTAAATAGACATATTTAAATAAATCCATCTAAATAATTATACAATCTTTACTTTTATATTATTTTATAGTTTAATATTATTTTATATTATTAATTGGACATGGCTACAAGATTTTGGTTGACCATGACAATGATGTACGGAGAGAGGTGCAGCACACATTTCATATAGTATTTTATATTCTTTAACTTGGTATTGTATAATAATTTATTTTGAGAAATTTTCAGCAATAGTTCATATATGTATCTTGCGAACAATACTCCTTTTTCTAAATCACAAAAATCAACTGCTTCACAATCAAGTTGACTAAATGCTTTCATATCAAGAGGATAAGTTTTCTTTTAATATAATAATAATGATTAAAAATAATAACCGACTATTTTTAGCATTAGATGATTATATAGAACAATCCCTACCTACTTTCTGATGAACACAACGAATAAAATGAAAAAAGTGAAATTGGTTATTTCAATATCTTGGTGAAACCCCCAAAAAAATATTTTATGCAAATATTGATACGTATCAATTTGGGCAATATAAAAAGAATGAGGAGTACAAAAATACATTTAGATGAGGAAATTTATATATATAGCCTTCCGCCTAGTTTTTGAATCCAAGATTTTTTATCACCAAAGAATCATCTAGCCTCAAATTTTCTTACCCTGTTTCAAATTCTTTATTAAAAAATATCATCTTTATAAGAGATAGAAATGGGTTTCGCTATTTCCGCTAAAACTGCAAACACTGCTGCAGCTGGTGTGTTATTTATCTCATTCCTGCGTCTAGTGAGCTTGGGAACACCAATTATCTATTCAATTTATATTGCGAGTTATGGGAATGTGAGTTATAGTAGTTATGATCGTGGACTAAAGAAGGGCAAGAGTACATTTGGAATATACAGCGAGTGTACGTAATTTTATGGTATTGATTATTATTATGAGTTTACTATTTATGATTGTGAATGCGTGGATAGCTTTACATGTTCAAACATTTTGACGGTACAAATTTTCGTTAATTATGCAAGCTATTGGCAACGTGTTTATTGATTAATCATACCAGAAAATATATTACATACAGTATAATAATTTTTTAAATATATTTTTTTTAGGCGTAATGACATTATTAATGTTGCTTTGCGTTGGAATTTATGCTCGTAGTCATATTGTGAATAAAGGGATGACATGGATCTTTGCATTATTCAGTACTTTAATCATTTTGTTAGCAATGGCAGTACAAATTGACCATTTTTTAAAACTCCAAGGTTGGTTTAGTCAATATAATGAAGCAACTTTAAAACTTGGAGCCAGTGGATTTAGTCTTGTGATTATATCTCTTATATTCTCACTCTTGTCAGTTCTTGCATTTTACAAAGGAGATCAAGCTGTAAGTGAAGGAGGTGGTGACATCAATGGTTCCAAAAAGAAAATATGAACACAATAATGAAACCTGTTCCTCAACAATCACAATCTTATTCAAATTCGCAATCTTCACAATTTCCACAATCTTATTCAAACACTCAATCTGATACAAATAATCAACCTTATTAGAGCATCAACGATCAAGCTGTTATTTATTTTTATTTTTTTTTCGACCCGATGTTAATTTTCGTGTTAACATTAATTTTAGTTAAACATAATCATTAAAATTAATAACACTGTATAAATATCAATTTAGTAATTTCAAAAAGTTTATGAAAATTATGACTCTGTATAACCTTCACAAACTTGTTCATTTTGTGTGAATGGATTGAAGTATCCTATGTAGTTGTTGTATAAAATCCAAATCCGATAAATATGGGTTCTATTATTGATTTCACACATGTCAATTATGAATTTGAATTTGACGTGTAACATATGAAGAAAGTGTATACATTGAGCCGAATCCGCATTCCATCATCCATTCTAATCTGAGTTTGGATAATTATTTGTTACTTTTGAATAACCTAATATTTTCAGATGTCCAATTATTGAAAAAACTCTACAAGTGTAATCTGTCAAAGTATCTTGTTGATTTACACTTTTGAATTCCCAAAACTGGATGAGGCTGTAAGCATCACCACTCCTCATTCAACATCCCTAAGATAGTCTTACATTTTTACGAAAAGTAAATTAGTCAATATCATAAACAATGTGCCGAATATTCCCCCAATTGGATTAATAAGTAAATGAAATGGACCGATATTTTTGTTTACTTATACTACTTTATGCCTTATCTGTTTCTTTACAATCAGATACTCTCATGTCTTCATTTGTTCCTTCCGATCGTTCACCATTCTCAACCTCCAATTTCTTCCTCAAGTTCCCCTCTTTCACCCTTGTAATTTTTAGCCTTTAATTTCCTCTTCAACTAGGTAAATTTCTCCATCTTCGCAGTACCCACAAACTTTTCTGTTTTCTCAATGAATAAATATATAAATTCCTTTGTGATATTAAAGCAAAATGTGTATGGTTTCTAAACAAAAATGCTTTTCGCAATGAAATGATACATATTGGAATGTTCTTAATAAATTTTATTTTATTCCAATTTGAGACCAATTTAGCGCCAGTTTATATATTAAGGTTTTTCACTTTGAAACATTACTTGTATATTATGGTTAATGTTGGTTTGATGAAATTTTGCCAAGTTGCAAAACTATCACGTCAAATTCGCTGCCATCAAGTCAAAATTGACATAAGTAAAAACCTGACGTAAGCAAAAATTGTTTCAAAGGCCAATAATAAAATGTAAAAAGCTTACAAAAAAAATATATAAATCTATATTCCAAGGTCTCCATCTCATTTTACATTTTTATATTTTTCTTATCCAATCTCTTTTTTGTTTCATCAATCGTAGTTAAATTTTCTTTTGTTGAACACAACTACACGCTCATTTACTATTAAACTTGACACTTCTTATACTAATATTAATAACATGATACATGATCGGGGTAGATAAAATCATCGTGTACTTTAGGTTCCAGGGTCAAATAATTTTAGGGAGAAAAATAAAACTCTGATGTTAATCTTTAATAAACAAAAACGTTGACTTCGATAAAAGGGAACCGGTGTAGTTCCTTGTTAAAGGATAACAATTGTGGAGCTTAGGTAAATAGCCACGTTTTATTTGCAAGCAAGGCTAGGACTAATGTTGGTTAACTAGTGAGTGTTAATGAAGTGTCGTCCAATAGTTAATTGAAATCACTGATAGTATTATTGTAATCGTAAACGTAAGGCTGTTAAACAAGATATTTAAGTTATTTCATAAAAGTGAGCTTGCAATTGGCCAATAAATATAAACAAGAACTAAAGTAAATTTGTAAACTAATTAATTAACAAGCACCAAATTATTCGCAATTAATAAACAAAAGTAGCCAAAAGTAAGCCATAATCAGTCATGCTTGTTAAATAATCAAAATGATACTTGCAAAATATCATCGTTTAACAAGAATAACAATGTAAAAAGTTTATTATTTAAAAAATGAAATAAAAAGATAAATAATTATAATGAATAAATTTATATGGAGATTATAATAAAATTTTTATTCACCTTCGTTAACATTTTAGAGAAAAGAGTTACAATCAAGATTATTCAATGAACTATTATTACTTGTAAAGCTTTTATATTTAGCAATCTCTTCATCTAATATTCTACTTTTGTAATATGCATCTGGATGTGATTTGTGTACTTGTTGCGAATCATCACCACCACCACTACTAGTACTACTACTAATACTACTATTGATATTATTATCATCATTATTTCCACGAATTTCCTTATCTTTATTAATAGCAAAATCAAACAGCTCTAGAATAGATGGTCTTTTTGATGGATCCACATCCCAACACCTCTGCATCATTTGTGCATAATCATAAGGCATTCCTGGTAATATTGGTGGTCGTAAGCCTTCTGCACATACATCAAAAATTAAATGATGATTGTGAGCTCTATTATCAAATGGTGGATGACCTGCAAATATTTCCCACATTAACATCCCAACACTATAGATGTCAGTTTCTTTGGTGTTTTTTTTTGCCTCTAAATAGTTCAGGTGCAATGTATGATACAATTCCATAGACTTTATCTGATGATTTTTCATCAACTGGTCCACATAATCCAAAATCTGTAATATAACAATTACATCCTTTCACAAGTATATTGCCACTATGTAAATCACAATGTATTAAACCTTCCCAATGTATATGATATAATGCACCACACAAATATTTAAAGATTGTAATTCTGTCTTTTAATGTTAAATTCAAATGATTTTCTTGCAAGTATCCCCTTAAATTTCCTTCTGGAAAATGATTTAAAATTATTGCATAATTTCCATTACCTGGAAATTTAGTTATACCATAGCAATCAACCATCACTGGTGATTTATTTTGAGGAAATAATTTCCTGAGGTTAAATAATGGCAATTGCATAGATATAGATCAAAATAATTTTGTTAAAATAGTTTGTTAAAATTAAAATTGAAATTTCTATATTTTACCACCTTTTAATAATTTTTCACAATCCTCATTTAAGGGTAGAGTGTAGTCATGTGATTTTTCATAACAACTGAAAGGATAAATTTTTTGACAATCATTTTCTTATGACTCGCATTAAAATAAATTATATATAATAATAAAATAATTCTAAAACGATCAAGTTTTTAATAAATATTTCCATCCTTTTGATTTAGCTTCAACAACAGCACCATCTTTGAGGCCATAAATAATCAAGCTACAAGTTAAGGGTAGAGTGTAGATAACACGGATTTTACTATGATACAGTAGATAATTTTGACTGCCAATCATTAAAAATATTAGTGTAGTCGTGATAACATTATTATTATTTATATACATGACAGTAATATATATTTTGATTTTATTTGTAAAAGAATGACTGATAATTAATATTAAATATTTAATATAACATTGTCCTTTTCTTCTATGGCATCCTTTAGCAAACAAAAAAAAATAAAATAAACAAGCTACAGTTTACTCTATAACAAACATATTAGTATTTATAATGACAAAAAGGCACATATAGGGATGGAAGGTTCATTATAGAGAGAATGAACTGCATATGTTCTCATGTTCCTTATTTATAAATAAATTATGATGTTAGTTAATTATATTAATTATTTTCACAAAATAACATATTAAATATATTAATTATTTCAAAAATACCAAGTAAAATTATAAGAAGCACCCACATTTTTGTTTAAAGTAAAAGAAAATTTGATATAACTTCCATGAAAAATAGTATATAGAACAAATAGTATATGTAGTGTAAGCGGAGATATATTGCTATCTTGTTATTGACTTCTTAACTCATCTATATAGTTGTTTTCAAAAAATTCTATTTTTAAATGTTTTAATGATCCAAATTACACGAGTAAAACTAATATCACTTACCTTGATTAAAAACAGGCAATTTTCTTTTGGTATTTATATTTATTACAAAGAAATG